GAGGGCTTTGCACACGCGCTTTGCACGAGTCCTCACACGAGGATCTCTGCACGAGGAACGTCCCTTGCACACGCGCTTTGCACAAGGACAATCCTTGCACGAGGATGATCCTTGCATGTGGTGGAATCTTGCGCAATTCTACGGGGGTTCCCATTTCCTATGGGGAAACCCCCCCAAGATTTTGGGGGCCCCCAACATCTCTAGGACCCCCCTAAATGTCCGTGGGGTCCCTAAACCTCTGTTGGACCCCCCCCAAAAAAAAATTATGGGGACCCCCAACCCCCTTATGGGGACCCCCGACCTCTTAAGGGACCCCCAAACTTTATGGGGGCCCCCTCAAGTTCTATGGGGTCCCTAAACCTCTAGAGGACCCCCCCAGTTTATGGGGAGCCCCCTCTTCTATGGGCGCCCCCCCCCCCGTCCCCCGGCGCGGCCGCCGGCGCCGGCGCGGCCCCGTCGGGCACGGCGCCCTGGCTGTAGGTCTTGTAGGGCCGCTTGTTGGCCCGCATGGGCAGCAGGCGGTAGAGCTTGAGCGCGTTGAGCTTGGGCCGGTAGCCGCCGTTGGGCGTCTTCTCGGAGGCGATGAGCCCCGGGCTGATGCCGTGGAAGGCTTTTTGGTGCGTCTTGAGGTTGTAGTAGGTGACGAAGGTGTCCCAGCAGAAGATGCACTGGTAGCGGCGCTCGCCCGTGTGCCACACCTCGTGCTTGGTGCGGTACTCGGCCAGCGCGAACACCTTGTCGCAGTAGCGGCACGGGTACTTGCGGCGCCACGAGTGGACGTTGGCGTGGCGCTTCAGGCTGGACAGGGTCATGTAGGAGCGCTGGCACACGCCGCACAGGTACAGCACCTGCCCGTCCACCACCTTGACCAGCGGCTCCTGCTCCGCGCCCGGCTCCAGCGCGCGGTGCCGCAGCAGCAGCGCCTTCTTGGCCGCCCTCGGCGGCCCTCCCAGTACCCCCCAGTACCCCCCAGTGCCCCACCTGTGCGCGGGGCCCTCATGGACTGGGTGTTGCAGCTCCGGGGGTCCTCGGGGGGGGGTCACAGCCGGCCGGGCCTCCTGGAGGGGGGAACACACCGAGAGAGGGGTCACAACACCGGGATTTGGGGTGAAACACCCGGATTTGGGGTACCCGGGGTCATTGGAGGGGTCACAACACCCGGATGCGGGTGACAAGGTGACAGCGAGGGATTCTGCAGTGTGACGTCAGCATCACAGCAAAGGGATGGGCGTGACGTCATCTGGAGGGGTTGGAGGGTGACGTCATCACGTGGGAGAGTGACGTCACGGGTCAGGGTTGGCTGCCGCTGTGAGGGGATGGGTGTGACGTCACTGCTGGGGGGGGTGAGGGTGGCATGACGTCACCACGAGGGGACACCAGTGACAACACCGGGGAGGGGGCGGGGCAGCGTGACGTCATCGAGGTGACGTTGTCACACCTGGACACACACACACAGCTGGGACACACACACAAACACACCTGTACACACACCACAGGTGGGACACACACACAAACACACCTGGACACACACACACAGCTGGGACACACACACAAACACACCTGTACACACACGCACAGAGGTGTGACACACATACAAACACACCTGGACACACATGCACAGGTGGGACACACACAGAAAAACACCTGGACACACACGTAAACACTTGTACACACACACAGAAAAACACACCTGGACACACACACACACAGATGTGTGACACACGCACACAAACACAGGTGGGACATGCATAAAAACACCTGTACACACACAGGTGGGACACACAGAGAAACACCTGTACACATACACACAGGTGTGACGCACACAAAAACATATGCACAGGTGTCACACACACACACACCTGGACACGCACAGGTGGGACAGACACAAAAACACCTGGACACATACACGCAGGTGTGACACACACAGAGGTGTGATACACACACACCTGCACATGCACACATGTGACACACCCACACAACAGCCACAGCACCTGTTGCACACGCACAGCATCCGTGACACGTGTCGGACACAACACCCACACATGGACACACACCTGCACACGGACAAACAACCGCACACAGGCAAACAACCGAACATGGACAAACAACCGCACATGGACACAACACCAACAACTACGCCCAGATACACATGGACACAACACACAACCGAACACGGGTGTACAACTGCACGGGGACAGGTGACACAGCCAGATGTGGACGTACACACGCCATCCAAATGTGGACGTACAACTGCACTCAAAGCACCCCCACACAACCCCCACACGGATGTTTCACCTGCAGAGGGATGGCTGTAGATGGAAAAACAACCCCCAGGCAGCCCTCAAACTGATGCACAACCGCACACAGGCACTGACACAACCGCACACGGGTGTGACGCACTCACAGCCACACGCAGCGGCACAACCGCACAGGAACAGCCCCCAGAGAACCCTCGCATGGATGGACAAGCACACAGGGACAGAGACACAACCACACAGGGACCAACAACCGCACAGGGACGGCTGACACGCCCCCACAGGGAGGGTGCATGAGCATAGCTGCACAACGAACACACACACAACCTCAGACAGGTGTACAACCGCACAAAAACCCCTCATACAACCCTCAGATGGGAGCACAACCACATAACAATCCCTCCCACAACCCTCAGATGGGTGTACAACTGCACAACAACGTAACACAACCACACACGAACACACAAGCACACAAAGAACACACATACAACCCTCAGATGGGCACACAACTGCACAACAACCCCTCACATGACCCTCAGACAGGTGTACAACCGCACAACAATGTGACACAACCACACAAGGACACTTGACAGGCAGAAGCACAACTGCCCATGGACAAACAACCCTCACACAACCTTCAGACAGGTGCACAAGTGCACAGGAACGTAACACACAACAGCCACAAGCACACGCAGGTGCACAACGTACATGAACAACCCTCACACAACTCCCACACGGATGCACAACCGGACACGGATGAACAACCGGACACGAGATCTGACACAAACAACCGGACACAGACAACCCCCACACAGCCCTGACACAGACACACAACGGGACATGGATGAACAACCGCACACAGACAAACACACGCACAGCCTCACAAGGACACGGCACGCTCGGACAGACGGACAAACAACCAGACACGCACAAACACCCGCACACACACAGCCCCACACAGACACAACACGCTTGGACAGATGGACAAACACCCGCGCAAACAACCAGACAGAGGACTTGACACAAACAACCAGACACGCTGACAAACAACCAGATACGAACAGCCTCACACAGACACGACACGCTTGGACAGACGGACAAACAACCGGACATGTACAGTCCCACACGGACACGACACACTCTGACGGACGGACAAACACCCGCACAAACACCCGGACACGCACAAACAACCCCCGCACGCGGCCCTGGCACACCTGCACACGCACACCCAGACCCGTCACCCTCACACCCGCACGGGGACCCCCCACACCCCCCTGAGGCCCCCCCAGCCCGGCACAAACACGCAGCCGCCCCCCCAAACCCCCGCGTCACCCCTGCCACCCCCCCGGTGTCACACATTTGGGGACACAGCTGTGGGGACAGAAGTGGGGGACACAACCCCGGGGGGACACAGGCAGGCAGGGGGACATGGAGGGGACAGGGGACACAGGCAGGGTGTGACAAAAGTGGGGACAGGTTTGGGGGTCAGCGGGGGACACGGGGGACAGGGCTGAGGGGACACAAATGGGGGACAAAGTGACACAAAGCTGGGGACACGAGCACAGCACACCACAAGACATGGGTGACACGGGAGGGGACACAACGTGACACGGGTGACACAGGAGGGGACACAACAAGACACGGGTGACACAGTTGGGGACACAAGCAGACAGAAGTGGGAACAAATTTGGGGTTAGAGTGACACAAAAAAGGACACAAGGAGAGAGGGACGGGGACAAAAGTGGGGACACGGTGACGCACAACCGAGAGCACAACCATGGTGCCGCCGCGCAAAAACGGGGACAAAATGGTGACAAAACGGGGGGACAACAACGCCAGGGCACAACAGGCATGGCCGGGTGTAGCAGGGGGTGTGGGGGGGGTTCAGGTGTCACCGCGCCCTCAGTGTCACCTTGTGTGGCGTTGTCACCGGGGGGGGGTGTGTGGTGTGTCCGGCTGTGCCACGTGAGGCTGTCACACCGTGTCACATTTGTGTCACATTTGTCACACATGTCAGTTTGTGTCCAGCTGTGCTGTGAGGGGCTGTGTCAGGTTGTACTTTTGGGTTGTACCTCAGACTGTGTCACATTTGTCATATGTTGTGTTACATTTGTCACATTTTGTGTCACATTTTGTGTCCGACTGTTGTGTGGGGCTGTGTCAGGTTGTACTTTTGGGTTGTACCTCAGACTGTGTCACATTTTGTGTCACATTTGTATCACATTTGTCGCATTTTGTGTCACATTCTGTGTCCAGCTGTTGTGTGGGGCTGGCTGTGTCAGGTTGTACTTTTGGGCTGTACCTCAGACTGTCATATTTTATGTGAGACTTGCCACATTTTGTGTCACATTTTGTGTCCGACTGTTGTGTGGCGCTGTGTCAGGTTGTACCTTTGGGTTGTACCTCAGACTGTTGCATTTTATGTCAGATTTGTCACATTTTGTGTCACATTTTGTGTCCGACTGTTGTGTGGCGCTGTGTCAGGTTGTACCTTTGGGTTGTACCTCAGACTGTGTCACATTTTGTGTCCGACTGTGCCGTGTGGGGCTGTCACATTGTGTCACACCCCCAAAATCCCCCCCGCTCCCCAAATTTCTCCTTCTCTGCCCCCAAATCCCCCCCACAAACACCATTTTCCTTCCCCCCAATCCCCTCTCTGCCGTTCTCCCCCCAAATTCCCTTTTCTCGCTGTAATTGTCCCCAAAACCTCCTGCTCCTCCTGGATACCCCTCCCTGCCCTCCAAACACCAAAATTCTCCTTTTTTTCCGTCCCTTTATGGCCCCTATTCCTTCCTTTCCCTCCAAAACTCTCCTCAAACATTCTTTTACTGCTCCAATTGTCCCCCCAAATCCCCCTAAATCCCCCTCCTTGTCTGCAATTGCCCCCCAAACGCTCCTGCCTCTCCAAATTCCCCTTTCCTACCCCAATTACAACCGCACACCCCTCCTGCTCTGCCAACAACCTTCAAGCCCTTAATTGCGCCCCCAACCTCTCCTGCCCCCTCAAATTCCTTTTCCCGCTCCTAAAATACTCCTCCAATCCCACTGCGCCTCGCCCAGCCCCTTCCCCAGCACCCCTCCGGAACAGGCCCCAAAGCCTCGGCCTTTCCCAGCCGCCCCAGCCGGGTCGGGAGCGCCGGGAGCGGCCGGGCCGGGCGGGCGAGGCCGGGGCTGCGCAGGCCGCGGCTGGAGCGGTGCTTCGCCCATTTCCGGCACCGTCCGCCTTTGCTTCGGCATCTTTCGTCGGATATTCGGCCGTTTCCGGCATCTTCCGCTCATGCTTCGGCAACATCCGCCAATGCTTCGGCCAGTTCCGTCTCTTTCCGTCAACGTTCGGGCACCGCCGGTTAACTTCGATCATTTCCGTTACTCTCCGGAGGCCCTTCGGCGATCCCCGCCCACTTCCGGCAGTACTTCGGAAATCTCCGCCAATCTCCGCCAGCTTCTGAGGTCACTTCGTCAACCTCCCTCCGCCCCCGCGATCTCTCGGCTCTCGCGCTCGGCGGGGGCGGTGCTTTTAAAATAAATTATTCATGAGCCGATCCCACCGAGCTGGAAGTTGGGGGTCCGACGACGGCGCGTCCCGTGAGGGCCTCACGGAGCAGCCGCCGACTCCCTGCCCCTTCCCCGCTCCTCGCTCGCCTCACGGACCGTGACGGGACTCGCGTCTCCCTTTCCTTCCCGCCGCTTTTTTCCCGCGCCTCCCCCTTTTTTCCTGTGAGGTGCTTGGTACGCTCCGGCCACGCCCCCTCCGGCGGCGCGCGGGGGCCGAGTCTATATAATGTGGCGCCGATGCCTCACAGCGCTCAGTCGCGCCTTGAGCGCGGAGCGGCCGGAGAGGAAAAGGGGAAGCTCCGCGCCTAGGGCTCCGTGAGGCGCCGGTTCCCCGGTGGGGTTAAAGCTCCCCGCTCTCTCAACCCTTCCGTGAAGGGGTCGGTTCCGAGCAGTCGGAGCGGCGCGAGGCCGCGGCCCCACCGGCGCCATGCACGGCGGGCCGCCCTCGGGCGACAGCGCCTGCCCGCTGCGCACCATCAAACGAGTCCAGTTCGGGATCCTCAGCCCCGATGAGATGGTACCGGGGCCGGGGCGGCGCGGACGGAACCGCGGGGCCCGCGGCGGGAGCGGGGCCGGCGGCTGAGGGCGAGCGGCGGCGGGAAATGGCGCCGGGGCAGCGAGAGCGGGGAGCGGAGAGGCCCCGTGAGGGGACAGCGCCCCCCACAGGCCCGGGGGGCTGAATGGGGGAGAGGGGAGAGCCCGGAGGGAAATTTGGGGGGTCCTCAGGGGGTTCGAGGACACAAACGAGGTTCTGGAAGGTGTTGGGATGCCCAGGGAGGCTCTGGAAGAGCTTTGGGGTGTCCGAGAGTGGCTCAGAATCCCCTGGCAGCGTTTTGGCGTCCCTAGGAGTGGCTCAGGGAGCCTCGGGATGAGTTTTGGGGTCCCTGGGGGTGCCCAGGAGGCCTCGGGAAAAGTATTGGGGTGCCTTGGAGGGGTTTTAGGGTGTCCTGGAGGCGCTTTGGGTCTCTGGAGGTGTTTGTGGGGGCCTTGGAAGAGCTTCAGGCTGCTGTGAAGGAGACTAGGGGTGCCTGGAGGTTTTTAGGGGAATTCTGGAGAGATTTTGGGGTCCCTGGAAGTTGTTCAGACAGCCCAGGAGGGATTTTGGGGTGATTGAAGTGTTCATTGTCACCCGAGGGGGTCACTTGGGGTACCCCCACCCGTTTTGGGTTTTTGAGGGGAGCTTGTGGATGCGTTTGGGGGTCCCCATGTGCCTCAGTTTCCCTTTTCCCCCCCAGAAACGGATGTCGGTGACTGAGGGGGGCATCAAGTACCCCGAAACCACCGAGGGGGGACGCCCCAAACTGGGGGGGCTCATGGACCCCCGGCAGGGCGTCATCGAGAGGACGGGGCGCTGCCAGACCTGTGCTGGTGAGTTAGGGGGGTCCTGAACCCCCAAATCCTCCTGGGAGGGGACCCTGAACCCCAAAAATTCGCATGGGAAGGGTCCTCAACCCCAAAAAATCCTCATGGAGGGACCCCAAAGCCCCAAATCTTCACAGGGACCCCCTGAGCCTCAAAAGTCCCTCACAAAGAGGGTCCTGAACCCCCAAACCTTCACAGGGAAAAGGCCCTGAACCCCCTAAAATTCTCTTTTTTCTCAGGGGGATTTCTTGGTTTTGGGGTGTCCTTTTCTGTGGGGTTCCCCTTTTTGGGGAGCTCCCCTTGTTCGCGGTGCTTTTAAAATAAATTATTCATGAGCCGATCCCACCGAGCTGGAAGTTGGGGGTCCGACGACGGCGCGTCCCGTGAGGGCCTCACGGAGCAGCCGCCGACTCCCTGCCCCTTCCCCGCTCCTCGCTCGCCTCACGGACCGTGACGGGACTCGCGTCTCCCTTTCCTTCCCGCCGCTTTTTTCCCGCGCCTCCCCCTTTTTTCCTGTGAGGTGCTTGGTACGCTCCGGCCACGCCCCCTCCGGCGGCGCGCGGGGGCCGAGTCTATATAATGTGGCGCCGATGCCTCACAGCGCTCAGTCGCGCCTTGAGCGCGGAGCGGCCGGAGAGGAAAAGGGGAAGCTCCGCGCCTAGGGCTCCGTGAGGCGCCGGTTCCCCGGTGGGGTTAAAGCTCCCCGCTCTCTCAACCCTTCCGTGAAGGGGTCGGTTCCGAGCAGTCGGAGCGGCGCGAGGCCGCGGCCCCACCGGCGCCATGCACGGCGGGCCGCCCTCGGGCGACAGCGCCTGCCCGCTGCGCACCATCAAACGAGTCCAGTTCGGGATCCTCAGCCCCGATGAGATGGTACCGGGGCCGGGGCGGCGCGGACGGAACCGCGGGGCCCGCGGCGGGAGCGGGGCCGGCGGCTGAGGGCGAGCGGCGGCGGGAAATGGCGCCGGGGCAGCGAGAGCGGGGAGCGGAGAGGCCCCGTGAGGGGACAGCGCCCCCCACAGGCCCGGGGGGCTGAATGGGGGAGAGGGGAGAGCCCGGAGGGAAATTTGGGGGGTCCTCAGGGGGTTCGAGGACACAAACGAGGTTCTGGAAGGTGTTGGGATGCCCAGGGAGGCTCTGGAAGAGCTTTGGGGTGTCCGAGAGTGGCTCAGAATCCCCTGGCAGCGTTTTGGCGTCCCTAGGAGTGGCTCAGGGAGCCTCGGGATGAGTTTTGGGGTCCCTGGGGGTGCCCAGGAGGCCTCGGGAAAAGTATTGGGGTGCCTTGGAGGGGTTTTAGGGTGTCCTGGAGGCGCTTTGGGTCTCTGGAGGTGTTTGTGGGGGCCTTGGAAGAGCTTCAGGCTGCTGTGAAGGAGACTAGGGGTGCCTGGAGGTTTTTAGGGGAATTCTGGAGAGATTTTGGGGTCCCTGGAAGTTGTTCAGACAGCCCAGGAGGGATTTTGGGGTGATTGAAGTGTTCATTGTCACCCGAGGGGGATACTTGGGGTACCCCCACCCGTTTTGGGTTTTTGAGGGGAGCTTGTGGATGCGTTTGGGGGTCCCCATGTGCCTCAGTTTCCCTTTTCCCCCCCAGAAACGGATGTCGGTGACTGAGGGGGGCATCAAGTACCCCGAAACCACCGAGGGGGGACGCCCCAAACTGGGGGGGCTCATGGACCCCCGGCAGGGCGTCATCGAGAGGACGGGGCGCTGCCAGACCTGTGCTGGTGAGTTAGGGGGGTCCTGAACCCCCAAATCCTCCTGGGAGGGGACCCTGAACCCCAAAATCCTCCTGGGAAGGGCCCTCAACCCCAAAAAATCCACATGGAGGGACCCCAAAGCCCCAAATCTTCACAGGGACCCCGTGAGCCTCAAAAGTCCCTCACAAAGAGGGTCCTGAACCCCCAAATCTTCACAGGGAGAAGGCCCTGAACCCCCTAAAACTACCTTTTTTCTCAGGGGGATTTCTTGGTTTTGGGGTGTCCTCTTTTGTGGGGTTCCCCTTTTTGGGGAGCTCCCCTCATTCCCCCCTTTCCAAATTTCACTTTTGCTCCATCCATGGGGTTTCTTGAGGGACATCTCAGGATTTTTGGGGGTTGCCTTCTTTTTTTTTGGGTCCCTTCTTTGGGGATGGTGCCCCCTTTTTTGGAGTTTTCCTTTTTTTTGTGATTTCCCGTTTTTGCGGTGCTCCCCTTTTTTAGGTCTTTTTTAGGGTTGTTCCCCTCCCACCCCAAAACCCCATTCTGGGGGGGGGTTCCCCTCTATCCCAACCCCCCCAGTCCAATTTTGGGGTGTCCCCCCAGTCTGATTTTGGGGTGTCCCCAGGGAACATGACGGAGTGTCCGGGCCACTTTGGCCACATCGAGCTGGCCAAGCCCGTGTTCCACGTGGGATTTTTGGGCAAAACCATGAAAATCCTGCGCTGCGTCTGCTTCTTCTGCTCCAAGCTGCTCGTGGACTCGGTGAGACCCCAAAAAACCCTGAGGGACCCCAAAAGTTTGGGGGGGAGGGGTCGGTTTTGGGCTGGAAATGGCCCTGTGGTGGCACCTTGGGGACACTTCGGGGATGGGGGGTGGTGTTGGGTTTTGGGACCGTTTTGGGGGTGCTGAGGGTTATAGGGAGGTGATAAAGTGGGGGACATCAGGAGGGGGTGACAGAGTGAGGGGACACCAAGAAGAGGTGACAAAGTTGGGGGACATCAAGAAGAGGTGACAAAATTGGGGGGTCGCTAAGAAGAGGTGACAAATGGGGATACCAAGAAGTGACAAAATTGGGGAATACCAAGAAGAGGTGACAAAATTAGGGGACACCAAGAAGTGACAAAGTTAAGGGACACCAAGAAGAGGTGACAAATGTGGGGGACACCCACGAAGAGGTGACAAAATTTGGGGGACACTAAGAAGAGGTGACAGTGTTGAGGAACACCAGGAAGAAGTGACAAAATCGAGGGGACACCAGGAAGAGGTGACAATGTTGAGGGACACCAAGAAGAGGTGACAAAATTGGGGGGACACCAAGGGGAGATGACAAAGTTGAGGGACACGTCAAGAGGGGACAACTAGAGTCAGGGGACACAGAGTTGTCACCTGCTGGGTGGTCCTGGAAGCTCTGGAGATGCTGAGGGACCACAATGGGACAACACCAGACACCCAAAATCACCTTTTCTGACCCCAAAACCACAATGTGACCCCAAAATGGCATTTTGTGACCCCAAAGTGGCATTTTCTGACCCCAAACCTGCGGTTTTTTTGTGCAGAACAACCCCAAAATCAAGGACATCCTGGGCAAGTCCAAGGGGCAGCCCAAGAAGAGGCTGACCCACGTCTACGACCTGTGCAAGGGCAAGAACATCTGCGAGGGGGGCGAGGAGATGGACCACAAGTTTGGGGTGGAGCAGCCCGAAGGCGACGAGGACCTCACCAAGGAGAAGGTGGGCACCCCAAAATCCTCCTCAGTGGCCCCAAAATCCCCGTTTGTGGCCCCAAAACTTCTGTTTGTGGCACAAAATCCTCATTCGTATCCCCAGAATTCTCATTTGTGGCCCCAAATCTTCTGGTTTTGGCCCCAAAAGTTCTGTTTGTGGCCCATTCTTTCTCCTTTTCCCCGTTCCAAGGCCACGGTGGCTGCAGGCAGCACCAGCCCCTGTTGCTAACCCAAATAATTCTTATTTTTCTTCCCAATAATTCCCCTTTTTGACCCAAATAATCTCATTTTTCACCCTTTTTCCCCATTTTCAACCCCAATAACCCCATTTTTCCCCGCTTCAGGGCCACGGCAGCTGAGGGTGGTACCAGCCCCTCTTGTAACCTCAATAACCCCATTTTTCACCCTTAATAACCCCATTTTTAACCCAAGTAACCCCATTTTTGACCCCAATGACCCCGTTTTTCACCCCAATAACCCCATTTCCCCCCCTTTTTCCCCCATTTTAGGGCCACGGTGGCTGTGGGCGCTATCAGCCCGTTGCTAGTCCCAATAATTCCCATTTTTAACCCAAGTAACCCCATTTTTGACCCCAATAACCCCGTTTTTCACCCCAGTAGCCCCATTTTTCACCCCAATAACCCCGTTTTTCACCCTGGTAGCCCCATTTTTCACCCCAATAACCCCATTTTTGACCCCAATAACCCCATTTTGACCCCAGTAACCCCATTTTTCACCCCAGTAGCTCCATTTTTTCACCCCAATAACCCTATTTTTCACCCCAATAACCCCATTTTTCACCCCGGTAGCCCCATTTTTCACCCCAATAACCCCATTTCCCCCCCTTTTTCCCCCATTTTAGGGCCACGGCGGCTGCGGGCGCTACCAGCCGCGCATCCGCCGCTCGGGGCTGGAGCTGTACGCCGAGTGGAAGCACGTCAACGAGGACTCCCAGGAGAAGAAGATCCTGCTGAGCCCCGAGCGCGTGCACGAGATCTTCAAGCGCATCTCGGACGAGGAGTGCTTCGTGCTGGGCATGGACCCCAAATTCGCCCGGCCCGAGTGGATGGTGTGTCCCCAAGTCATCGCCGAGGACGTCAAGGTGCTGCAGTTTCACGTGGCCACCATGGTGGATAAGGAGCTGCCCAGGGTCCGGGACAGTCTAGGGGGGTCACAGAGAGGTTTTGGGGTGTCATGGAGGGGTTTTGAGGGGTCACAGGGGGATTTTGGGGTGTCCCAGATGGGACAGAGACGGGGGATAAACAGACATAGAGCCCAAAGTCCCAGCTGGAGCTGAGGACATTCCCGGGAGAGATCAACTTGTGTCTCCCGGTGGATTTTGGATTTTTAGGGTGATTTTGGGGTTCCAACCCCTCCTGACCCCCCAATTTCTCCTCCCCCAGGCCATGCAGAAGTCGGGGCGCCCCCTCAAGTCCCTGAAGCAGCGGCTGAAGGGGAAGGAGGGTCGGGTTCGGGGCAACCTGATGGGGAAACGCGTGGATTTCTCCGCCCGCACCGTCATCACCCCCGACCCCAACCTGGCCATCGACCAGGTGGGCGTGCCGCGCTCCATCGCCGCCAACATGACCTTCGCCGAGATCGTCACCCCCTTCAACATCGACAGGTGGGCTTTGGGGGGGTTTTGGGATGGATTTATGGGGTTTGTAGGGGGTTTGGGGTGGATTTATGGAGGTTTGGGGTGGATTTATGGAGGTTTGGGGTGGGTGTGCCGCGCTCCATCGCCGCCAACGTGACCTTCGCCGAGATCGTCACCCCCTTCAACATCAGCAGGTGGGCTTTGGGGAGGTTTGGGATGGATTTATGGGGTTTGTAGGGGGTTTGGGGTGGATTTATGGAGGTTTGGGGTGGATTTATGGAGGTTTGGGGTGGGTGTGGTGTACTCCCATCGCCGCCAACGTGACCTTTGGTGAGACCCGTCACCCCCTTCAACATCAGCAGGTGGGCTTTGGGGGGGTTTGGGATGGGTTTATGGGGTTTGTAGGGGATTTGGGATGGATTTATGGGGTTTGTAGGGGGTTTGGGATGGATTTATGGGGTTTGTAGGGGGTTTGGGATGGATTTATGGGGTTTGTAGGGGATTTGGGATGGATTTAGGGGGTTTGTAGGGGGTTTGGGATGGGTTTATGGGGTTTGTAGGGGGTTTGGGATGGATTTTTAGAGGTTTGGGGTGATTTAGGGGGAGTTTGGGGGGTTTAGTGCTGATGTCCCCTGCTCCATCGCCACCTACGTGACCTTTGGTAATTTTGAGCAAATCCCAATAACCCAAAACCACCCCAAACACCCTTTAAACCCCACTGATCCTCCTCGAGGTGACTCTGAGAGCTGTGAGGTGACTCCCAGAGCCCCAAAATCCCCAAAATTGACCCCAAAACCCCCTCAGGCTGCAGGAGCTGGTGCGCAGGGGGAACAGTCAGTACCCGGGGGCCAAGTACATCATCAGGGACAACGGGGACAGGATCGACCTCCGCTTCCACCCCAAACCCAGCGACCTCCACCTGCAGATCGGCTACAAGGTCAGCACCCCAAAACCCCCAGATCCGGGGAGGGACCCCAAAATCCACAGCGGGATCCCAAAAATCGGGGAGACGCCAAAAACTGGGTGTGGAGCCCACAGCTGCGGGGGGGTGATTGTTGGTTTTGGGGTTCAGAGCTCTGGGTTTGGGGTCAGTCCCTGATTTTGGGGTTCAGATCCCTGGGTTTGGGGTCAGTCCCTGATTTTGGGGTTCAGAGCTCTGGGTTTGGGGTCAGTCCCTGATTTTGGGGTTCAGAGCTCTGGAATTTTGGGATCAGTCCCTGATTTTGGGGTTCAGAGCTCTGGGGTTTGTAGGGGGTTTGGGATGGATTTTTAGGGGTTTGGGGTGATTTAGGGGGAGTTTGGGGGGTTTAGTGCTGATGTCCCCTGCTCCATCGCCACCTACGTGACCTTTGGTAATTTTGAGCAAATCCCAATAACCCAAAACCACCCCAAACACCCTTTAAACCCCACTGATCCTCCTCGAGGTGACTCTGAGAGCTGTGAGGTGACTCCCAGAGCCCCAAAATCCCCAAAATTGACCCCAAAACCCCCTCAGGCTGCAGGAGCTGGTGCGCAGGGGGAACAGTCAGTACCCGGGGGCCAAGTACATCATCAGGGACAACGGGGACAGGATCGACCTCCGCTTCCACCCCAAACCCAGCGACCTCCACCTGCAGATCGGCTACAAGGTCAGCACCCCAAAACCCCCAGATCCGGGGAGGGACCCCAAAATCCACAGCGGGATCCCAAAAATCGGGGAGACGCCAAAAACTGGGTGTGGAGCCCACAGCTGTTTGGGGTCAGTCCCTGATTTTGGGGTTCAGAGCTCTGGGTTTGGGGTCAGTCCCTGTTTTTGGGGTTCAGATCCCTGGGTTTGGGGTCAGTCCCTGATTTTGGGGTTCAGAGCTCTGGACTTTTGGGATCAGTCCCTGATTCTGGGGTTCAGAGCTCTGGAATTTTGGGATCAGTCCCTGATTTTGGGGTTCAGAGCTCTGGATTTGGGGTTCAAATCCTGATTTTGGGGTTCAGAGCTCAGGATTTGGGGCTCAATCCCTGATTTTGGGGTTCCCAATTCTAGATTTGGGGTTCAATCCATAATTTTGGGTTCAAATCTCTGAAATTTGGGGTTCAATCCTCAATTTTGGCCTTCAGCACCACCAGGAAGTGAATTTAACCCCAAACCCCTCATTCTCCTCACTCTGACCCCCCCATTTTTGGGGGAAAGATGCCGTTTTTGGGGTGTCCCCCATTTTTGGGGTATCCCCCTGACTTTTGGGGGGGTTTGGGGACAGGTGGAGCGTCACATGTGCGACGGGGACATCGTCATCTTCAACCGGCAGCCCACCCTGCACAAGATGTCCATGATGGGCCACAGGGTCAGGATCCTGCCCTGGTCCACCTTCCGTCTGAATCTCAGGTAAAACACCCCAAAAACCCCAAAATGAACCCCAAAATTAACCCCAAATCGTACCCCGGTCCACCTTCCGTCTGAATCTCAGGTAAAACACCCCAAAAACCCCAAAATTCACCCCAAAATCACCCCGAATCCTGCCCTGGTCGACCTTCTGTGATGAGATGAGCCCATCCCTGGTATGTCCCCAGTGTCCCCACAATGTCCCCAATGTCCCCACAGTGTCACCACGCCCTACAACGCCGACTTTGATGGTGACGAGATGAACCTGCCCCATGTCTGCGCAATGTCCCCAATGTCCCAGCATCCCCACAATGTCCCCAATGTCCCCACAATGTCCCCAATGTCCCCACAGTGTCACCAAACCCTACAACGCCGACTTTGATGGTGATGAGATGACCCTGCCCCATGTCTGCACAACGTCCCCAATGTCCCAGTGTCCCCACAATGTCCCCAATGTCCCCGATGTCCCCGCAGTGTCACCACGCCCTACAACGCCGACTTTGACGGCGACGAGATGAACCTGCACCTGCCTCAGTCGCTGGAGACGCGGGCGGAGATCCAGGAGCTGGCCATGGTGCCCCGGATGATCGTCACCCCCCAGAGCAACCGGCCCGTCATGGGCATCGTGCAGGACACGCTGACGGCCGTGCGCAAGTTCACCAAGAGGGACGTCTTCCTTGAGAGGGTCCGTTTTGGGGTCGTTTTGGGGTTAGTTTGAGGTGATTTAGGGTGGTTTTGGGGTGGTTTTGGGGTGATTTGAGGGGTTTTAGGGCAGGTGTTTGAGGTGGGACACGCTGACGGCCGTGCGCAAGTTCACCAAGAGGGACGTCTTCCTCGAGAGGGGCCGTTTTGGGGTCATTTTGGGGGTGTTTAGGTTGATTTGAAATTATTTGGTGTTAATTTGAGGTCATCTCTGGTGGTTTTGGTGTGATTTATCATGGTTTTGGGGTGGTTTCTGGTCAGTCCCTGATTTTGGGGTTCAGAGCTCTGGGTTTGGGGTCAGTCCCTGTTTTTGGGGTTCAGATCCCTGGGTTTGGGGTCAGTCCCTGATTTTGGGGTTCAGAGCTCTGGAATTTTGGGATCAGTCCCTGATTTTGGGGTTCAGAGCTCTGGATTTGGGGTTCAAATCCTGATTTTGGGGTTCAGAGCTCAGGATTTGGGGCTCAATCCCTGATCTTGGGGTTCCCAATTCTAGATTTGGGGTTCAATCCATAATTTTGGGTTCAAATCTCTGAAATTTGAGGTTCAATCCTCAATTTTGGCCTTCAGCACCACCAGGAAGTGAATTTAACCCCAAACCCCTCATTCTCCTCACTCTGACCCCCCCATTTTTGGGGGAAAGATGCCGTTTTTGGGGTGTCCCCCATTTTTGGGGTATCCCCCTGACTTTTGGGGGGGTTTGGGGACAGGTGGAGCGTCACATGTGCGACGGGGACATCGTCATCTTCAACCGGCAGCCCACCCTGCACAAGATGTCCATGATGGGCCACAGGGTCAGGATCCTGCCCTGGTCCACCTTCCGTCTGAATCTCAGGTAAAACACCCCAAAAACCCCAAAATTCACCCCAAAATCACCCCAAATCCTGCCCGGGTCCACCTTCCGTCTGAATCTCAGGTAAAACACCCCAAAAACCCCAAAATTCACCCCAAAATCACCCCAAATCCTACCCTGATCCACCTTCCGTCTGAATCTCAGGTAAAACACCCCAAAAACCCCAAAATTCACCCCAAAATCACCCCAAATCCTACCCTGATCCACCTTCCGTCTGAATCTCAGGTAAAACACCCCAAAAACCCCAAAATTAACCCCAAAATCACCCCAAATCCTGCCCAGGTCCACCTTCCGTCTGAATCTCAGGTAAAACACCCCAAAATTAACCCCAAAATGAACCCCAAAATCACCCCAAATCCTACCCTGGTCCACCTTCCGTCTGAATCTCAGGTAAAACACCCCAAAAACCCCAAAATTAACCCCAAAATTAACCCCAAATCGTACCCCGGTCCACCTTCTGTGATAAGATGAGCCCATCCCTGGTGTGTCACCACAATGTCCCTGATGTCCCCTCAATGTCCCCACAATGTCACCACGCCCTACAACGCCGACTTTGATGGTGACGAGATGAACCTGCCCCATGTCTGCACAATGTCCCCAATGTCCCCAATGTCCCAGTGTCCCCACAATGTCCCCAATGTCCCTGATGTCCCCTCAATGTCCCCACAATGTCACCACGCCCTACAACGCCGACTTTGATGGTGACGAGATGAACCTGCCCCATGTCTGCGCAATGTCCCCAATGTCCCAGCGTCCCCACAATGTCCCCAATGTCCCAGATGTCTCAGTGTCCCCAATGTCCCCGCAGTGTCCCCACAATGTCCCAAATGTCCCCGCAGCGTTACCACACCCTACGATGCCGACTTTGACGGCGATGAAATGAACCTGCCCCATGTCTGCACAATGTCCCCAATGTCCCAACAATGTCCCCAATGTCCCCACAGTGTCACCAAACCCTACAACGCCAACTTTGATGGTGACGAGATGAACCTGTCCCATGTCCCCACAATGTCCCCAACCTCCCTGTTCCCCCAATGTCTCCCCAGTGTCCCCAATGTCCCCCTTCCTCCCCACAATGTCCCCAATGTCCCCACAGTGTCACCAAACCCTACAACGCCGACTTTGATGGTGATGAGATGACCCTGCCCCATGTCTGCACAACGTCCCCAATGTCCCAGTGTCCCCACAATGTCCCCAATGTCCCCGATGTCCCCGCAGTGTCACCACGCCCTACAACGCCGACTTTGACGGCGACGAGATGAACCTGCACCTGCCTCAGTCGCTGGAGACGCGGGCGGAGATCCAGGAGCTGGCCATGGTGCCCCGGATGATCGTCACCCCCCAGAGCAACCGGCCCGTCATGGGCATCGTGCAGGACACGCTGACGGCCGTGCGCAAGTTCACCAAGAGGGACGTCTTCCTTGAGAGGGTCCGTTTTGGGGTCGTTTTGGGGTTAGTTTGAGGTGATTTAGGGTTGGTTTAGGGTGGTTTTGGGGTGATTTGAGGGGTTTTAGGGCAGGTGTTTGAGGTGGGACACGCTGACGGCCGTGCGCAAGTTCACCAAGAGGGACGTCTTCCTCGAGAGGGTCCGTTTTGGGGTCGTTTTGGGGTTAGTTTGAGGTGATGTAGGGTGGTTTTGGGGTGGTTTCTGGTGGTGTTGTGTTGGACACGCTGATGACCGTGTGCGAGTTGACCAAGAGGAACATCGTCCTGGAGAGGGGCCGTTTTGGGGTCATTTTGGGGGTTTTGGGGTTGGTTTGAGGTGGTTTAGGGTTGGTTCAAGGTAGTTTGGGGTGATTTGAGGGGTTTTAGGGCAGGTGTTTGAGGTGGGACACACTGATGGCCATGCATGAGGTCATCTCTGGTGGTTTTGGTGTGATTTATCATGGTTTTGGGGTGGTTTCTGGTGGTGTTGTGTTGGACACGCTGATGACCATGTGCAAGTTGACCAAGAGGAACATCTTCCTGGAGAGGGGCCGTTTTGGGGGTTTTGGGGTTGGTTTGAGGTGGTTTAGGGTTGGTTCAAGGTAGTTTGGGGTGATTTGAGGGGTTTTAGGGCAGGTGTTTGAGGTGGGACACACTGATGGCCATGCACAAGTTCACCAAGAGGGACGTCTTCCTCGAAAGGGTCTGGTTTGGGGGGATTTTGGGGACTTTTAGGACATTTTCAGGAAGTTTTGGGATCTCTGTGGGGTTTTCGTGATTGATGACATCTTTGGGGTGTTTTTGGGGTGTCCCTCAGGGGTGTGGTGATGAACCTGCTGATGTTCCTGTCTACGTGGGACAGGGATTTTGGGGGCGGTTGGGACATCTTTGAGGTATTTTGGGTTCTCTGTGGGTATTTCTTTGATTAGTGACAGTTTTGGGGTGTCCCTCAGGGTGAGGTGATGAACCTGCTGATGTTCCTGTCCACGTGGGATGGCAAGGTGCCCCAGCCAGCCATCCTGAAGCCGCGGCCGCTCTGGACAGGGAAGCAAATCTTCTCCCTGATCATCCCTGGCCACATCAACTGCATCCGCACCCACAGCACCCACCCCGACGACGAGGACAGCGGCCCCTACAAGCACATCTCCCCTGGGGACACCAAGGTGGGACATCTGAGGAGGTCTAGGGGGGCTTGGTGGGGTGGAAAGGTGATCTGAGGGGGCTTTGGTGGGATCTGAGAGGGCTTTGGGGTGGTTTCATAGTGTTTTGGTGGGATCTGAGGGAGTTTGGTGTGGTCTGAGGGGGTTTTGGTGGGATCTGAGAGGGCTTTGTGGTGGTTTGAGGGGTTTTGGTGGGATCTCAGGGGGCTTTGGTGGGACTTGCTTTGATCTGGGAGAGCTTTGTAGACTCGAGGTGATCTGGGGGTGTTTTTGGGGTGCTCCAGGTGGGTTTTGGGGTTTTTTTGGATCTTTGATGTCCTCACCACGTTCTTTGGGTGTCCCCAGGTGATCGTGGAGAACGGAGAACTCATCATGGGCATCCTGTGCAAGAAGTCCCTGGGGACGTCGGCCGGGTCCCTGGTGCACATCTCCTACCTGGAGATGGGCCACGACACCACGCGGCTCTTCTACAGCAACATCCAGACTGTCATCAACAACTGGCTGCTCATCGAGGGTCAGCGTGGTCCTGGGGGCTCCTGGGGGGCTGGGAACCTTCTTGGTGGCATCTAATGGGGGTTTGGTCACCCAAGGACCTTCTCAGATCCCATCTTGGTGGAGCCCTGGGGCTCTTGGACCCCATTTTTGAGGTTCTGGTGGTTCTTGGACCCCTATTTTGGGTACTGGGGGGACTGGGAACCTTCTTGGTGGCATCTAATGGGGGTTTGGTCCCCCAGGGATCTTCTCAAATCCCACTTGGTGGAGCCCTGGGGCCCTTGGACCCCTTTCTTGAGGTCCTGGTGGTTCTTGGACCCCTTTTTTGGGGACAAGGAGGACTCAGGAATTTTGGGGGATGGTCCCAGCTGGGAACATTTTGGGGTCTTCAAAGGAGTTGGGAACATTTTGGGGTCTTCAAGTAACTCCTTCCAAGGTTTCAGGCCCATCTTGATGTCCCCAAGTGGCTCCTTCCAGAAGTTTGGGACATTTTGGGGTCTTCAAGTGGCTCCTCCCAAATCTGGGTGATACTTGGGTGTCCCCAGGCTGCTCCAGCCCAACCTGGGTGACACTTTGATGTCCCCAACCTCTTCCACCCCAAATTGGGACCCACATTGGTGTCCCCAACTTTCTCCTCCCAAACTTTGGTCACGTTTTGGTGTCCCCAACCTTCTCCTACCCAACATGGACCAGCTTTTTTGGTGTCCCCAAGCTTCTCCAGCCTGACGTGGGTGACACTTCGGTGTCCTCTGGCTGTCCCTGAGGTGTCCCCGTGTCCCCACAGGTTCAAGTTTGACTACTCCAGAACCTGCCCCAGGGTTGGTTTTTTGGGGTGAGGGGTTGGAGATGACCCCAGATTTGGGGGGATCCCCCTGAACCCCGAGTGTCCCCCCAGGTCACACCATCGGCATCGGGGACTCCATCGCTGACGCCAAGACCTACCAGGACATCCAGAACACCATCAAGAAGGCCAAGCAGGATGTCATCGAGGTGGGATTTTGGGGGGTTTCTGGGAATTTGGGGAATTCCACAGGAGGTTTGGGGTGGTTCCTGGGGGATCTCAGGAGGTTTGAGGCAGTTCCTGGAGGATCTCAGGGCGTTTGGGGCAGTTCCTGGAGGATCTCAGGGGGTTCCTGGAGATTCCTGTGGAGTTTTTGGGATTTTTTTGAGGTTCTTGAGATGATTTTGGGCACCAGGAGGTCCAAGACCAACATCTGCCAGGTTTGGGAGGTTCCAGAAAGTCTTGGGGTGCTCCATACAGGGTTTGGGGTGGTTTCTGGAGGATCTTGGGTGTTCTGGTTGGTTCCTGTGGAGTTTTTTGGGTTTTTTTGAGGTTCTCTGGTGGTTTTGGCCATCAGGGAGTTTCGGGACTCCCCACTGACCCTTTTGGGGTGGTTTTTGGGGTCTCCAGGTGATCGAGAAGGCCCACAACAACGAGCTGGAGCCCACCCCAGGCAACACCTTGCGCCAGACCTTTGAGAACCAGGTGAACAGGATCCTCAACGACGCCCGTGACAAGACCGGCTCCTCTGCCCAGAAATCCCTGTCCGAGTACAACAACTTCAAATCCATGGTGGTCTCGGGGGCCAAGGGCTCCAAGATCAACATCTCCCAGGTTTGGGGCGTTCCAGAAGGTCTTGGGGGGCCTCTGTGTGGGGTTTGGGGTGGTTCTTGGAGGATCTCAGGGGGTTTGGGGTGGTTCCTGAAGGATCTCAGGAGGTTTAGGTGGTTCCTGGATGATCTCAGAGGGTTTGGGGCAGTTCCTGGAGATTCTACAGGAGATTTGGGGTGGTTCCTGGAGGATCTCAGGAGCTTTTGAGTGGTTCCTGTGGAGTTCCATGGAGCGTTTTTGATTTTCTTGAGCTTCTGAGCTGATTTCGGGAGATGTCCCCAACGTCCCCGCCCGGTGTCCCCTCAGGTGATCGCGGTGGTGGGGCAGCAGAACGTGGAGGGCAAGCGGATCCCGTTCGGCTTCAAGCACCGGACGCTGCCGCACTTCATCAAGGACGACTACGGCCCCGAGAGCCGCGGCTTTGTGGAGAACTCCTACCTGGCCGGCCTCACCCCCACCGAGTTCTTCTTCCACGCCATGGGTGGCCGCGAGGGCCTCATCGACACGGCCGTGAAGACGGCCGAGACCGGTCAGTGTCCCCGGAACGTCACCGTGGGGCTTTCAGGAGTCCAAAATTCCACCCAAGGGACCTCCAGCACCCCAAAATTCCAGTGTGGAAACCTTGAGGGCCCCAAATCCTCCCCAGATGCCCTCTGGAGACCTCAAACCCATCACCGCTGCTCCCTGGAGGTCCCCAAACCCTCCCCAGATGCCTTCTGGAGACCCCCAAACCCTCCCCAGATGCCAAACCCTCCCTAGATGCCTCCTGGAGACCCCAAATCTTCCCTAGTTGCCCTCTGGAGACCCCAAACCCATGACCGATACTCCCTGGAGGTCCCCAAACCCTCCCCACATGCCTCCTGGGGATCTCCAGGATCCTCAAACCTTCCCCAGATGCCTCCAGGATTCCCAAACTCATCCCAGATGCCTCCAGGATCCCCAAACCCTCTCCAGATGCCTCCTGGAGACCCCAAACCCTCCCCAGATGCCTCTTGGAGACCTCAAATCCATCCCAGATGCCTCCTGGGGACCTCCAGGATCCCCAAACCCTCAAAACACCTGGGGCACCCCAAAACCCATCTGAGATACCCCAAAACCCAACTAAGATACCCCAAAACCCAACCGAGATACCCCAAAACTCATCCGAGATACCCCAAAACCCTACTGAGATACCCCAAAACCCATCTGAGATACCTCAAAAACCCACCAAGATACCCCAAAACCCAACCGAGATACCCAAAATCCACCCAGAGCATCCCAGATTCCCCTTTTGGGGATGCATGGAGGTCCTCAGGGTCATCTTCCCCACCAGGGACAGCAAGGTGATGCCAAAATCCACCCCAAAAACACCTGAGACATCCCAAAACCCTACGGAGATACCTCAAAACCCCACTGAGATATCCGAAAATGCCACTGAGATACCCCAAAATCCAACTGGAATGACCCAAAATCCAACTGGAATGACCCAAAACCCCAAATTCCAACCAGGACATCCCAAAACGTCCTTGAAATCCAACCAGGACACCCCAAAATCCAACTGAGATGCCCCATTTTTGGGCTCTGACTCCCTATTTTTGGGGTTCTTCTCCCCCGTTTTTGGGGTTCTTCTCCCCCGTTTTTGGGGTTCTAACCCTCGTTTTTTGGGTTCTTCTCCCCCATTTTTGGGGTTCTGACCCCCTTTTTTGGGGTTCCTCTCCCCCCAGGTGGTGCTCCCCTGTAACCTGCTCCGCATGATCTGGAACGCGCAGAAGATCTTCCACATCAACTCCCGGCTGCCCTCGGACCTGCACCCGGTCAAGGTGGTGGAGGGTGAGTGGAGCACGCTCTGGGGTCCCTCAGGAAGGTTCTGGAGGTTCTTGAGTCCCTCAGGAAGGTTCTGGAGATCCTTGAGTTCTTCAGGAAGCTGTGATGGGTTTGGGGTCCCTCAGGAAGGTTCTGGAGGTTCTTGAGTCCCTCAGGAAGGTTCTGGAGATCCTTGAGTCCCTCAAGAATGTTCTGGAGGTCCTTGAGTCCCTCAGGAAGCTGTGATGAGTTTGGGGATGCTCTGGAAGGTTCTGGAAGTTCTTGAGTCCCTCGGGAAGCTGTGATGGGTTTGGGGATGCTCTGGAAGGTTCATGCAGGTCCTTGAGTCCCTCAGGAAGGTTCTGGAGGTTCTTGAGTCCCTCAGGAAGGTTCTGGAGTTCCCTCAAGAAGCTGTGATGGGTTTGGAGATGCTCTGGAAGGTTCTGGCCATCCTTGGGACCCCCCTGTGACCATGCTGTCCCCTCAGGGGTGAAGGAGCTGAGCCGCAAGCTGGTGATCGTCAACGGGGAGGACCCGCTGAGCCGGCAGGCGCAGGAGAACGCGACGCTGCTCTTCAACATCCACCTGCGCTCCACGCTCTGCAGCCGCCGCATGGTGGAGGAGTTCCGGCTCAGCGGGGAGGCCTTCGACTGGCTGCTGGGCGAGATCGAGTCCAAGTTCAACCAGGCCATCGTGAGAACGGGCTTTGGGGTCATTCTTGGGGTTTTGGGTGGGTTTGGGGTCAGTGTTTGGGGTTTGGGGTCACCTTCGACTGGCTGCTGGGCGAGATCGAGTCCAAGTTCAACCAGGCCATCGTGAGAACGGGCTTTGGGGTGTTTGGGGTCATCCTTGGGGGCCTTGAGGTCATCCTTGGGGGTTTGGGGTCACTTCTGGAGGTGCCTTCGACTGGCTGCTGGGCGAGATCGAGTCCAAGTTCAACCAGGCCATGATGAGAATGGGCTTTGGGGTCATCCTTGGGGGTTTGGGGTCAGTATTTGGGGTTTGGGGTCACCTTCGACTGGCTGCTGGGCGAGATCGAGTCCAAGTTCAACCAGGCCATCGTGAGAATGGGCTTTGGGGTCATTCTTGGGGTTTGGGGTCACTCTGGGGTTTGGTGACCCTGCTGTGACACTGTGCTGTCCCCGTGTCCCCTCAGGCCCACCCTGTTGAGATGATTTAGGGTCACTCTGGGGTTGTGACAGTGCTGTCCCCGTGTCCCCTCAGGCCCACCCCGGTGAGATGGTTTGGGGTCACTCTGGGGTTGTGACAGTGCTGTCCCCGTGTCCCCTCAGGCCCACCCTGTTGAGATGATTTAGGGTCACTCTGGGGTTGTGACAGTGCTGTCCCCGTGTCCCCTCAGGCCCACCCCGGTGAGATGGTGGGCGCGCTGGCCGCGCAGTCCCTGGGCGAGCCGGCCACGCAGATGACCCTCAACACCTTCCACTACGCGGGGGTGTCGGCCAAGAACGTCACCCTGGGCGTCCCCCGCCTCAAGGAGCTCATCAACATCTCCAAGAAGCCCAAGACGCCGTCACTCACCGTGTTCCTGCTGGGCCAGAGCGCCCGCGACGCCGAGCGTGCCAAGGTGGCACCTGGGGACACGCTGGGGACAGCAGCGGGGGGGCTGGGGTGGTCTGCTGGTGGCCCCGTGGGTTTGTGTCCTCACAGCCCTGTGGTGGCCCTGTGGGTTTGTGTCACCTCCTTGTCCCCATGGCCCTGTGGTGGCTCCATAGCTTCGTGTCCCTGTGGTGGCCCTGTGGCTTTGTCACTTCTGTGTCCCCTCACCCTCAGCCCCGTGGTGGCTCCATGGCTTTGTATCCCCATGGTGGCCCTGTGGCTTTTTGTCCCCTCTGTGCCCCCATGTCTTTGTCCCCTCAGGACATGCTGTGCCACCTGGAGCATACCACACCCAATGTCCCTCTGTCCCCTGACTGTCCCCAATGTCCCCAGGACATCCTGTGCCGCCTGGAGCACACCACGCTGCGCAAGGTGACGGCCAACACCGCCATCTACTACGACCCCAACCCTCAGAGCACGGTGGTGGCCGAGGACCAGGAGTGGGTCAACGTCTACTACGAGATGCCCGACTTCGACGTCAGCCGCATCTCGCCGTGGCTGCTGCGCGTCGAGCTGGACCGCAAGCACATGACCGACCGCAAGCTGACCATGGAGCAGATCGCCGAGAAGATCAACGCCGGTGGGTGGGCCGGGTGCGGGCCCCGGGGGGGATTGGGGGGGTTTGGGAGGACCTGGAGGGGGTTTGGGGTGACCTGGATGAGTTTTGAAGGCATCTGAGGAACTTTTGAGGGGCCTGAAGGGGGTTTGAGGTGACCTGGATGAGTTTCGAAGGCATCTGAGGAACTTTTGGGGTCTTGTGGGTGAGTCTGGAAGGGCTTTTGAGGGATCTGGAGGAGGTTTGAGGGCATCTGAGCAGCTTCTGAAGGACCTGAAGGGGGTTTGAGGTGACCTGGATTAGTTTTGAGGGCATCTGAGCAGCTTTCAGGGGTCTTGGAGGGGGTTTGGGAATCCTGGAAGAGGTTTGAGGTGACTTGTGTGAGTTTTGAGGGCATCTGAGCAGCTTTTGAGATACCTGAAGGGGGTTTGAAGGGGCATGGATGAGTTTTGAGGACATCTGAGGAGCTTTTTGAGGGTCTTGGGTGACCCTTGAAGGCATCTGAGGGCTCTTTAAGGAGTTCTGGATGAGCCTGGAGGAGCTTTGAGGGTTCCTGGCAGATCTTTGAGGACACCCTGGAAGTCCCTTGGGTGCCGTGACCTTGGAGGTGACCCTGTCCCCACCCCGTGTCCCCTCCCAGGCTTTGGTGACGACCTCAACTGCATCTTCAACGACGACAACGCCGAGAAGCTGGTGCTGCGCATCCGCATCATGAACAGCGACGAGAACAAGATGCAGGAGGTGGGCAGGGACCTGGGGACACCTCAGGGGACACCTCAGGGGACACCTGGGATGGCCTGGGCGTCACCTGTCCCCCGCCGTGTCCCCAGGAGGAGGAGGTGGTGGACAAGATGGACGACGACGTCTTCCTGCGCTGCATCGAGTCCAACATGCTGACGGACATGACCCTGCAGGGCATCGAGCAGATCAGCAAGGTGGGGACACCTGGGGGGGCTTGGGGACACCTGGGCTGGCTTGGGGACACCTGGAGGGGTCCATGAAGGGATAGAAGGTCTCCAGAGATACCTGGAGAGCTCCATGGTGACCTTTAGAAGGTTCCAGGAGACCTTTAGAAGATCCAGGATGGTCCCTGGTGACACCTGTGGGCACCTGAGAAGGTCTTTGGGTACTACCAGGTGCTCTGGGGGTTCAAGATCTCCAGGTAGATCTTGAGGAGCATCAGGAGTTCTCCATGGAGACTTTTAGGAGGTTCCAAGAGACCTTTAGACACCCGTGGTGACACCATGGTGACACCTGTCCCCGCCTGCCCAGGTGTACATGCACCTGCCGCAGACGGACAACAAGAAGAAGATCATCATCACCGAGGACGGGGAGTTCAAGGCTCTCCAGGAGTGGATCCTGGAGACCGACGGCGTCAGCCTCATGCGGGTGCTGAGCGAGAAGGACGTGGACCCCGTGCGCACCACCTCCAACGACATCGTGGAGATCTTCACCGTGAGTCACCTGGGGACCCCTGGGGGTCAGGGACAACCCTGGGCTGGGGTTTGAGGGACATCATGGTCCTCATGGTGGAGATCTTCACCGTGAGTCATCTGGGGACACCTGGGGGGTGAGGGACACACCTGGGGGGTGAAGGACGGATTTCCCGCCCCTGGATTTGGGATTTCCCACCCCCTGGATTTGGGGAACTCCCACCCCCTGGTTTTGGGATTTCCCACCCCTGGATTTGGGGAACTCCCACCCCCTGGATTTGGGGTCCCCCCTGACAGCCCCCTCACCCCGCAGGTTCTGGGGATCGAGGCGGTGCGGAAGGCGCTGGAGCGGGAGCTCTACCACGTCATCTCCTTCGACGGCTCCTACGTCAACTACCGGCACCTGGCGCTGCTGTGCGACACCATGACGTCCCGGGGACACCTGATGGCCATCACCCGGCACGGCGTCAACCGCCAGGACACCGGGCCCCTCATGAAGTGCTCCTTCGAGGAGACGGTGCGGGAACAACGGGGTTTGGGAATGGGAACGGGGTTTGGGAACCGCCAGGACACCGGGCCCCTCGTGAAGTGCTCCTTCGAGGAGATGGTGCGGGGACAATGGGGACAATGGGGTTTGGGAATGGGAATTGGAGTGCGGACAGGGTTTGGGAACGGGGAATTGGGTGGGAATGGGGTTTGGGAACTGCCAGGACACCGGGCCCCTTGTGAAGTGCTCCTTCGAGGAGACGGTGCGGGAACGGGATCAGGAATGGGGTTTGGGAATGGGGTTTGGGAAGGGAATGGGGTTTGAGAATGGAGGATTGGGGTGGGAATGGGGTTTGGGAACTGCCAGGACACCGGGCCCCTCGTGAAGTGCTCCTTCGAGGAGATGGTGCGGGGACAATGGGGACAATGGGATTTGGGAATGGGGTGGGAACAGGAATTGGGGTAGGAGTGGTGTAGGGATTGGGGTGGGAATAGGAATGGGGGTGGGAGTGGAGTGGGAATGGGGGAGTGGGGTGGGAATGGGGATTGGGGTGAGAGTGGGAATTGGGGTGAGGATTGGGATGGGAATGGGGTTTGGGAATTGGGGTGGGAATTGAGGTTTGAGGTGGGAATGGGGTATTGGGGGCTGGGAATGGGGTAGGAATGGGATGGGAGAGGGGTTTGTGGGTGGGAATGGGGCATTCTATGGACATTTTACAGGATTTGGGATTCAAAAAAGACATTTAAAAGCTGAAGCTGATTTTGGGGTGTCCCCCCACTCAGGTCGATGTCCTGATGGAAGCAGCTGCCCACGGGGAGAGTGACCCCATGAAGGGCGTGTCCGAGAACATCATGCTGGGCCAGCTGGCCCCGGCCGGCACCGGCTGCTTCGATCTCCTGCTGGACGCCGAGAAGTGCAAGCACGGCATGGAGATCCCCAGCGCCCTGCCCGGCCTCGGCGTCGGCGGCTGTGAGTCCCCAAAACCCTGGGGACACCCCCTGGCAAAATGGGGACACCCCCTGGCAAAATGGGGACACCCCCTGGGAAAACTGGGGACACCCCTTGGAATGGTGGCCAGGTTCCTCCAGGAGCAGCTGGGGACACCCCAAGGGTGGTGGCACAAAGACCTTCAAGGTCATGGTGCTCATTGGCCGGTTCTGGGTGTCCCATGGCAAGAGGGGACAGCCTCAGATTTTGGGGTCCGTGCAGATTTTGGGGTACACCAGGACTTGATCCTACAAGGGAGGAGTTAGGGTTGTGATGATGGTGACATGAAGACCCCCAGTGTCACCATGGCCACCACCGTGTTCCAGCTCTGGTCACCTGGTGTCCCCCAGATGTTGATGTCCTCCAAATGTTGGGGTCACCCCCAGATTTTGGGTCCATGGGGGAACAGTTGGGGACACCCCGAGGGTGATGGTGACACAAAGACCCCGGATGTCACCATGGCCACCACCACCATGTCCCAGCTCTGGTCACCTGGTGTCCCCCAGATGTTAATGTCCCCCATATTTTAGTGTCCCCCACATGTTGATGTCCCCCAGATTTTGGGGTCCCCCACATGTTGGTGCCCCCCAGATGCTGATATTCTCATATTTTGGGGTCCCCCCATTTTTTTGGGGTGCCCCTGACCCCGCTCTCTCCGCAGCCACCGGGATGTTCTTCGGCTCGGCCCCCAGCCCCATGGGGGGGATGTCCCCAGCCATGACCCCCTGGAACCAGGGGGCCACCCCGGCCTACGGCGCCTGGTCCCCCAGCGTGGGTGCGTGCGGCGCTGGGAGGGACTGGGAGGGACTGGGAGGGGTGTTTGAAGGGGTCTGGGGTAAAGTGTGGGTCACTGCGATGGCTGTGGGGGGAATTTGGGGTGTCCTGGGGTGCATTGGGGATGATGAGGGGTCCCCCTGACCCCGTTTTCCCCCACAGGCAGCAGGATGGGCCCGGGTTGTGTTTGGAGGTGGTTTTGGGGTCCTGGGGTGTATTTGGGGGTGGTTTTGGGGTCCCAGGTTGTGTTTGGGGGTGGTTTTGGGGTCCTGGGGTGTATTTGGGGGTGGTTTGGGGGTCCCAGGTTGTGTTTGGGGGTGGTTTTGTGGTCCTAGGCTGGTTTTGGGGTGCCCCTGACCCCCTTTTCCCCCACAGGCAGCGGCATGACCCCGGGCGGGGCCGGGTTCTCCCCCAGCGCCGCCTCCGACGCCTCCGGGTTCAGCCCCGGCTACTCCCCGGCCTGGTCACCCACGCCCGGCTCGCCGGGGTCACCCGGCCCCTCCAGCCCCTACATCCCCTCCCCCGGTGAGTACAGCCCCAAAAACACCCCAAAATACCCTGAAATAACCTAAAATACCCATAAAATACCCTGTAACACCTAACAACACCCTGAAACACCCTGTAACACCCTAAAATATCCCAAAAATACCTGTAAGACACCATGCAACCTCCAGCAATACCCAGAACACACTGAAACACCCCCAAACACCCTAAAATACCCTGAAATACCCTTAAAATTGCCCAAAATACCCTGTAAGACCTAACAACACACTGAAACACCCTGTAACACCCTAAAACACCCCTAAAATAATAGAAAATAACCCAAAACGCCCAGAGAGCACCCTGTAACCTGTAACAACACCCTAAACATCCTCTAACACTGTAAAACACCCTGAAATAGCCCTAAAATAACCTCAAATAATGCAAAACACCCTGTAACCCCTAACACCATCCCATAACACCCCAAAACAGTCCCATAACACCCCCTCACTGAGCCCCACAACACCCAAACAACACCCCAAAGGGACCCCCAAAACCTCCAACAGCCCCACAACACCCGAACAACATCTCAAAGGGCCTCACAACACTCTACAACACCCCAACACCACCTCAAAGGGACCCCCAACACCTCCAACACCTGATTAACACCTCAAAGGGACCCCCAACACCCCAACACTCCAACAGCCCCACAACACCTGAACAACATTTCAAAGGGCCTCACAACCCTCTACAACACCTCAACCACCCCCCCATCACCCTCCTGACCTCCTGTCCCCTCTCCGCAGGTGGGGCCATGTCCCCCAGCTACAGCCCGACGTCCCCCGCCTACGAGCCGCGGTCGCCGGGGGGCTACACCCCACAGAGCCCCAGCTACAGCCCCACTTCTCCCAGTTACAGCCCCACCTCCCCCAGTTACAGCCCCACCTCACCCAACTACAGCCCAACCTCTCCCAGTTACAGCCCCACCTCTCCCAGTTACAGCCCCACCTCGCCAAGTTACAGCCCCACTTCACCCAGTTACAGCCCCACGTCCCCAAGCTACAGCCCGACCTCCCCCAGTTACAGCCCCACCTCGCCCAGCTACAGCCCGACATCGCCGAGTTACAGCCCGACGCCCAGCTCCCCCGAGTACACCCCGACCTCGCCCAAGTACAGCCCCACGTCCCCCAAGTACAGCCCCACGTCACCCAAGTACAGCCCCACCTCGCCCACCTACAGCCCCACCTCGCCCGTCTACACCCCGACGTCGCCCAAGTACAGCCCCACCTCGCCCACCTACAGCCCCACGTCGCCCAAGTACAGCCCCACGTCCCCCACCTACAGCCCCACGTCGCCCAAGGGCTCCACGTACAGCCCCACGTCCCCTGGCTACAGCCCCACGTCGCCCACCTACAGCCTCACCAGCCCGGCCATCAGCCCCGACGACAGCGACGACGACAACTGAGGGTCAGCCTGTGGGGACGGGGGTGGCACCCCCCAAAAAAACCCCTCAGGCCATGGGGGTGACCCCCAGATCCATGTGGGGATGGGGTTGTTGTTGCACCCCAAAAACCTCATGTGGATACGGGGACGGGGTTGTAGTCACCCCCAAACCCTACAGGCCGTGGGGCTGACCCCAAAATTGATTTGGGGATGTGGTGGTTGTCACCCCCCAAACCCTCACATGGATACGGGGTTGGGGGTGTCACCCCCTGAACCCCCAAATTCTGATGGGGTCGGGGTTGTTGTCATCCCAAAACCCCCAAATTCTGATGGGGTCGGGGTTGTTGTCACCCCAAAATCCCCACCTCGATATGGGGACAGGGTTGTTGTGTCACCCCCAAACCCCACAGGCTGTGGGGGTGACCCCAAAATTTACACAGGAACGTTGTCACCCCCACATTGAAACGGGGTCGGGGTTGTCACCCCAACAAAACCCAAAACAGTTGTGGGGGTGACACCCGAATTTCCTTGGGAATGGGGTTGTCACCCCCCAAACACCACAGGCGTTGAGGGTGACCCTAATTCCCAACGGTGACGGGGTTGTCACCCCCAAATGGAAATGAGATCGGGATGGTCACCCCAAGTTCCGGTGGGGACAGGGCTGTTGTCACCCCTCAGATCCTCATAGACTGTTGGGGTGACCCTGAAATTGGGGTGACACCAAAGGGTGGTGATGGCTAAATTTGGGGTCACCCCTAAATTGGGGTCACCCCTGAAATTGGAGAGATCCTCAAGACTGAGGGGGAGCCCCTGAATTGAACTGGACCCCCAAAGTTCAGAGGGGGCAACCCCCAAACTGGGGCTGACCCCTAAACTGGGGGGAACCCCTTAATTGGGGTGAAATCCTTAAATTGGGTGACACCCTTAAATTGGGGGGTTGATCCCCAAACCAGGCTCTGACCCTTGAATTTGGGGTGACCCCCAAGTCGAGGGTGACCCCCCCAGTTTAGAAGTGACCCCCCAGTCCAGGGGTGGGGGAGGGGCAGGTGTGGGACCCCCCCCCTCCCGATTTCGGGGTGTCTGGTGGGGGGGGTTGTAATTTATGGGGTTCGTTAATCCGTGGTTGGGTTGTGGTGGCCATGGTTGGGTCGTGGTGGCCATGGTTGGGTTGTGATGGCCATGGTTGGGTCATGGTGGCCATGGTTGGGTTGTGGTGGCCGTGGTTGGGTTGTGGTGGCCATGGTTGGGTCGTGGTGGCCATGGTTGGGTTGTGGTGGCCGTGGTTGGGTCGTGGTGGCCGTGGTTGGGTCGTGGTGGCCATGGTTGTGCCATGGTGGCCGTGGTTGGGTGGTGGTGGCTGTGGTTGGGTGGTGGTGGCCGTGGTTGGGTGGTGGTGGCCGTGGTTGGGTTGTGGTGGTCATGGTTGGGTTGTGTTGGTTGTGGTTGAGTCATGGTGGCCGTGGTTGGGTCATGATGGCCGTGGTTGGGTGGTGGTGGCCATGGTTGGGTCATGGTGGCAGGGGTTGGGTCATGGTGGCCATGGTTGGGTCATGGTGGCCATGGTTGGGTTGTGATGGCTATGGTTGAGTGGTGGTGGCCGTGGTTGTGCCATGGTGGGCATGGTTGTGTTGTGGTGGCCGTGGTTGGGTCATGATGGCCATGGTTGGGTCATGGTGGCCATGGTTGGGTCATGATGGCCGTGGTTGGGTCATGGTGACCGTAGTTGGGTCATGGTGGCCATGGTTGGGTCATGGTGGCCATGGTTGGGTTGTGATGGCTATGGTTGAGTGGTGGTGGCCGTGGTTGTGCCATGGTGG